ATCCTCGACTTGAATTGAGTGGTCGACTATGAAATCTGCAACCACTTGTCCTTTTACTGCCTTAAGAGGCATAAAGGTCAAGGAGTATTCAGTTAATGCTAATGCCCATTTGACAATTCGACTATGCAAGATAGGTTTCGACAACATATATTTGAAAACATCAAAATGAGACGAAACATAAACATCAACTGGTTTTATATATTGCTTGAGTTTTGTACAAGAGAAATACAGACATAGACACAATTTTTCAACTTCGCTATATCTAGTTTCTGCATCATTCAAAACTCTACTGAGATAATAAATGGGTCTTTCGACTCCATTCTCATCCTCTTGGGCTAACATGCTTCCCAGAGTTTTGTCAGATGCAGCTATGTACAATCTCATACTCCTATTGCTACAAGGAGGCACCAAAATAGGTGGCTTAGTGAGGTACCCTTTGATTTTGTCGAAGGCGTCTTGTTGCTCCTGCCCCCATTCGAACCCTTCTTTATTCAGTCGAAGTAAGGGTGAAAAGGCCTGAGCTTTCCCACTTAGATTAGATATAAACCTCCTTAAGAAATTTATCTTGCCTAAGAGAGATTGCAATTCCTTCTTATTCGATGGCGCTTTCGCTTCCAGAATTGCCTTCGTCTTGTTCTGGTTGATTTCGATTCCTTTCTTGTGGACAACGAAGCCCAAGAAATCTCCAGCTTTCACACAGAACGCACACTTCAAAGGGTTCATCTTCAGACCATGTTCTCTCATTCTTTCGAATGATTGTCGAAGGTGGTCAATGTGATTCTTCCTGGAAATAGATTTTATAACAATATCATCAATATATACTTGCATAAAAGTGTTAATAAAATCATGGAAGATAGTATTCATTGCTCGCTGGTATGTTGCCCCAGCGTTCTTTAGGCCAAAAGGCATCACTACCCATTCGTAAGTGCCTAAGGCCCCAGGGCATCGAAAAGCTGTTTTCGACACATCCTCTTCAGCAATGAATATTTGATTATATCCTGAATAACCATCGAGCATACTCAGGTATTCATAACCAGCGGCAGAATCGACTAGCATTTCCGCCACAGGCATACGATATTCGTCTTTGGGGGTGGCAGCATTCAAATCTCTGAAATCTATGCACACCCTTAATGTGCCATTTTTCTTAATTACTGGCACAATATTTGCAATCCATTCGACATACCTTGTAACACGGATGAATTTGCATTTCAGAAGTCTTTCGACCTCCGTTTTGATCTTCGACAATATTTCTGGAGCGAAGCGCCTTGGATTTTGCTTGATTGGCTTCTTCCCAAGTTTGATTGGCAACTGAAGTTCTACCAATCCTCTGTCGAGACCAGGCATTTCGTCATAATCCCATTTAAAACAGTCTTTAAACTCTTTCAGCAATTGGATTACTTCCAACCTAAGTTCTGGATCGATTTTGGCGCTGATGTAAGTTGGCCTTTTCTCTGATCCTTCGCCTAAGTTGATTTCTTCTAAAGGGTCTTGTGCTAACATTTTAATGTTGTTCGCCAAGGGATCCTTTTCGAAGCCCAAAGGCTCATCGTCATAGATGGCGTCGAGCCTCTGTTCTTGCATTTCTTCTGGCATGATATCAGGAGGTTTTGGATCGAAATCCTTTCCTGGGCCTACAGCAGATAATTGTTGATCATTGGCCTGTGTGGCCATGTACTTTACTTCGGCTTCGAGAGCCGTTATCATCTTGGTTTCGGCTACGTAAGCCGAAATTCGCTTCAAAGATTGTGACTCAGTCATTATCACTGAATTCACTTCCCCAACCAGTTGGTTGGATATCAGTTAACCCACTGAAGTCTATGTGGGACAAGTCTTCTCTGTCCCATTGGAAACCATGCTCAGGATGCAGGTATAGGGAACAAAAGGTGTTTGGCGCTGGCGCCATGTCGAAGTCAGGTGTGGGACATGGCCCTATGTGAGCCAAGTTCTTGTCGAAATCTGCCAAACCCAGGTGATTCACTTCGCCAAGGTAGTAGCTTTGGTCTGCCTCTATGTTTTCGACCATCCCATCTGGACGCCATAGCAGCAGCCTTTGGTGCATCGATGAAGGCACAGCGCCAACACCATGAATCCATTCACGGCCTAACAAAAGATTGTAGTTAGGTTTGGCCGATATGACCATGAACATCGTTGGTCGAAGGATAGACCCAACTTTGATATCTAGCTGGATCACTCCCATGGTGGTCCCAATGCCGCCCTCATAGTTCGACAGGACCATGTTGTGAGGTTTAATGTCCTCATCTCTTTTGCCAATCTTCCTTAGCATAGAGTGAGGGATAATATTGATGGTTGCCCCACAATCGACCAATATTTTATTCACAGTAGTTTCTTCGAGTTTAGCCCTTACGAACAAAGGCTTGAGGTGATTCTTCATCGCCTCTGTAGGTGGCTCGAAGAAACCATTTTGTTCCTCAGTAGTGCCATTGTCCATGACAAAATAGCACACTGGCCTATGTTTGGCCATTTCTTGTTCCACTTCCCAGTCACTTGCTTCGACTTCTACCTGTCGATTGAATTCTCTGGGCAGCACTGAAACGATATTCACCATTATATCCAAAGTATCGTCGGACTCAGCATCGTCTTCGTCTTCGACTTCACTTTGGTTAGGCCAAACTAGCCTGTTGGTTACTGGCTCCCTCTCTAGAGGCTTCCTTTGTTTCCTTTGAGGGACATTCGAACTAGTTTCTGCCTTAGGTTCGTTGGCAGCCTCCCTTTCAGCTTTTCGTCTCCTTTGATATCTCCTCCATTGAGATCGAGACATGGGATTTTTACCCTTGTAGTTGCTGGACACTTGTGCAACCTTAGGTGCAGCAACTTGAGGCTCTTTCTTTTGAGTCAAAGAGGAACCTCTTGGCACATCGAAAGAATGCCATTTCTCTTCACTTGGCCTTTTCCGGCCAGAGGTTTTGTACCAAGTGTCTACTGGCACATTTGTCGGAGGCCTAAAAGTCAGTGGCCTCTTTTCTTGGTTAGAACCCCTTCTGGGATCATGTCGAAGGTCAGCATTCTCCCTTCTCTTATTCGCTGCTCTTACGCCTTGGATGTGCTCAGCAGCTTTTTTATCAAAGATCGAACTGCATCTTGGACACAGCATCACCTCCGATTTCTTTTTCTGGTATCTTTGTAAAAAATCTGCCAAGTTTTCATTTTCCCGAGGGAAAGCAGTCTTATTAGCCTGTTCTTGCCTCATGGCCTCTTCTGATGCTTTAGGGTCAGAAAGTTCGACCATGTTGATATTCATTGTATCTTTGTTAGCAAGAGTTAACTGCTTCATTTGTACCTCCAGATTCTCCGTCTGGCCTTGAACGGTGGCCAAGTGGGAACTGGCTTTTGATCCAGTTTTTTGTGCTTCAGCAGTCTCCGACTTCGGGTTCTCGACCGCTTTCTGGACAGCTTCAATTGTCTTCCTGGATAAATTTCCAGAAAAACTGCCAAAGATTGGCATGTTGATGTGGTCCTTTGAGACTTCGACCATGGTAATTCCTGGCTTCTTCGACTGGATCCTGGTTGCCTCTATCATGTTCACCTCAGAGGGTTCAACATAGTGGGCTTCAGCCTTCAGTGGATTGGAGTCGATAGCCATGGGGGATTTGTCTGCAAACTTTAATCTCCCTTCCTCAATAGCGTCTTGCACAAGATTCCTGAAAAGAAAACATTGAGAAGTTTTATGGCCCAAAAAATTATGATATTTGCAAAAACCTCTCTTCTTTCTTTGATCAAGGGGAGGCACTTTTACCCCTGGGGGTACTATCATTTGGCCATCTTTAACTAGCAAGTCGAATATTTCATCACACTTTGTGATGTCAAAACTATAAGTCTTTTTTGGGAACCTATCGTTGGTCCTCTCTGGACCAATGGGATTTTTCCCATTTGAGGGGACTAACAGTTTACAAGAGTATGGTGGCCCTTGTTTTAGTTCTGCTAAATCGACTTCTCCTTCTTCGACAGTTAAAGTATCGTCGAAGGATTCTAGATCTTCGTCATCCATCTCAACGTACGCTATTCTCTCTCTCTTGTGAGTTTTCGTTGCCTTAGCTTTCTCAGCTTTGAGGCGTTCTACCTGTCGAACTCTATCGGCAGTTGGGCCATGTCTCTTAGGTATTGGGTGTCTAGCTTCTTCCTAATGGAATAATCTAAACCGCCTGCGGCTATTTCGACCAACTCATGTTCTGGCACTTGGGTAAAACATCTCGCCTTGAGCAACCTAAACCTATTCAGATATTCGTCTATAGGTTCAGTGAAACGTCTCTTCACACTGGCCAGTTCTTTCAGGCTTATCTTGGTTTGCCCCATGTAGAATTGTTCATGGAACAATCTTTCCAACTGGGTCCAATGATGGATCGAATTGGGGGGAAGAGTTGTAAACCAAGTAAAAGCGTTCTTGGTTAAAGAACTTGGGAAGTATTTGTGGCACACCTGATACTCCAAATGGTTACTTATTTGTTTACTCCAATCTAGTTTGCATGTTTTCTACCAAACCTCACACTGAGGTTTTGAGTAGATAAAAGAAGAGACCTACATTCCGAGATATTGAAAAAATGAAAAACAAAATTTTCTTTTAAAAGATTGGACTGGTTTCTCAAGTCTGTTTATGAAAATGATCCAATCTGTAATTAGATTAAATCCATAAAATTACTGTACTAGTTATAGTTATACTTGATAAGATGTCAATAGTTGTAAAAAAAAGATATGCCATTAAGAAAATCACTAAAATCAAACAAGAAACTAGGATAATTTGCAATTTAGAAATACTTGTGACACTGTTGATTATCTTTCATTAGTTTGATATTTTAAATTAGCTTCTTTGAAATATCGTTGAATATCCTTACTGCATGATATATCACTAAATATCCTTAGGGTGAGATTAGATTAATTTTCTAGTTCCATTATAATTCAATCTAGGAACATCCTTACTGCATGATATATAACTGAATATTTATATTTGTTGCTTCGTGAATTTAGAAAGGTATTTACTGTTTTAGCAAAACTGCTTCTTGGCAACGTTCTCAAGGAAGGAACTCCAATTTCTGTGAACCCTCTCGTGATTTGGGCTTGGGCAACGTTCTCAAGAAAGGTATCACAATACATTTTACAAGTTAGCATTATATTAACCGTGTTCTTTATGACAATTTTTGTTTTGTTCTGCCATCTTACAAATTGAAGAGGCAATTGCAATTCAAGGAAATAATTCCTTTGGGATTAGCATTGTACTGTCTTGGTAGAAAATTATGAAGTCAATGAAAACTTGCACAGGCTTCATAATTTTTCTGGCTCCGCCACTGAATACAGTATTTAGTATACTTTCTTTGATTGGTTTTCCTATTATGAGTTTAAAATCTGGCAGTGTAAATAAATACAACACATGCATGCTTCAATCTTTCCTTCCATCTCCTTCTTTGTTTTGACTTTGATAAATATGTATTTTATATTGTCTCAATTTAGAATTTGAGTTTGAAACAATAAAAAAGAATAGAAGTTATATCTAGCTATCAATTAATAAATTTTATATTTTCTTTTATTGGAACTCTATCTATGGTCACGGTTTTAGGACCGTACATGTATTAACTTCAATCATTTCCTTCCATACCTGGCTAGCTCCGTTAATTTGAAAAAAAAAAACAAATGAGTGTTGCAATCAACACTCATTTTTTTCCATATATGTCTGAAAATTACATTAATGCAATGAAGAAAAACCAACCATAGTGCTTACTGAAATTTTTTTCTTTAAATTTGGTGTATCTTCTTTCAGCTTACTATGCAAGGGAAACAACATATTGAATCTTCTAGCAAAGTAAACAATATCAAGCATCGTGACGAAACACCGCCTGATGTTCGAGTACGGAAACTAAAGGATCAGCTCATCCAAGCTAAAGTTTATCTTTCCCTTCAGGCAGTTAGGAACATTCCCCATCTCACTCGGGAACTTCGGCTACGGGTAAAGGAAGTTTCATGAACAATTGGAGAGGCAAGCAAAGATTATGACTTGCCAAGGAAGTAAGTGAGTTTTTAAGAATGTATTTTTTGTACTTGTCACCAGGTTTTCCTATTTTTATATAGCTATTACGTTAGTTATTTCATATTTAGCTTTATTGGGAAGTAGCATACAAATATGTTGAATAGTTCAGGTCTTCATGATCTACATTTTATTCAGTTTGAACTTATATTTGTAATTCTACTAATGCAGTACAAATGAGAGAATGAAGGCAATAGAGCAATCATTGATGAAAGCAAGGCAAATTCAAGATGATTGTGCCACATCCGTGAAGAAGCTTAGGGCTATGCTCCACTCATCAGAGGACCAGCTTCGCGTGCACAAGAAACAGACCTTATTCTTAACACAGTTGACAGCTAAAACACTGCCTAAAGGTCTCCATTGTCTTCCGTTGCGCCTTACAACTGAATACTATAACTTGATCTCTTCTCAGCAATAATTCCCCAATCAAGAGAAGTTAGAAGACCCTGGACTATACCATTATGCAATATTCTCAGATAACATATTGGCCACAGCTGTTGTTGTGAATTCTACTGCTGCCCATGCTAAGGTAAGTTATTTTCACGTGGAGATTTCCTGAGTTGTTTTTATTCGCCAGGATCATGAAACTGAACACCAAATAAAATAATCTGTTATAGTATCTCTCTGCAGTTAAATTACTATTCTCTCAATGTTTTAACAAACTAATATGTTTTCATTTTATTTGTGCCTAGAGGTAGTGATGGATAAAAAATAAAAACAAAAACCTTATCTGTTACAATATAATGGTGGTATTTTTCTTTCTGATCAGCATAATAATAATGTAGTTTTAATAAATTTTCAGGATTCCTCCAAACATGTTTTCCACATTGTAACTGATAGGCTCAATTATGCGGCAATGAGGATGTGGTTTTTGGCCAATCCACCAGGAAAGGCGGCAGTTCGAGTTACAGTCCAGTTCTTAAGCAGCTAGATGATGAATTTCAAGAGGAGGATATAGATGGTGAATTTCAAGAGGACGACGTAGATGAAGAATTTATGGAGGATGACATATCTAACGAATTTCAAGAGGACGATATGGATGCTTTACTCCTAGAAGACAAACTTGAATGAGTTGGATGGTGTCTTTTTTTTGGCTTGTAGTTGAAAGCATTAAACTTGAAATATGATTTTTGTTCTTTTGTTGAACTATGTTTTTAGTTATTTTACTAGGGTCATACTTCAAAGTATTAAAAGTAATATTGTTACGTTAGGCATTTTGTGTACTCTATATACCATATCTTGAATTAAAGTTTGAACTCGATTTTATTATATTACAACTTTTATGGATGTATGGTTTAAGTTATATAATCAATATTATTTTTGAAGCCAATTATTATTGACTATATTATTTTGATAATAATTGCAAAATTGTATATTTTATGTGGACACTATAAAACAACAACCTATAAGTTATGACTACACTTCAAAAACGATCTTCCTGATTCAGGTTTAAGGCAACGATTGTTAATTGTAGCCGAATTTGGCAACACAACGCTTAAAAAACGTTGTATCAGAGATCGTAAATAATCGTCCCCTATTCCTTTACTATAGGCGACGTTTTTCAAAAGCGTTCCCAAAAAACATAAAAAAAACGTTGCCTCAAACAATAGGCAACGCTCGCACAGGAGACGCCTAGAAAACGTCCCCTATTGTTTTAGGCAACGATTTTCAGAGTTTTGGCAACGTTTTTCAATTGTTGCTGGAGAGCCTAAATGTTATAGTGTAAGATGATAGGTGAGTGGGTTCTCCCACTTATATATATTTAAGTCTCCATATTCCTATCTAATATGAGACTATTTCCACACTTACTCACACTTGCTATATTATTCTAACAGGTTAGAGTAAAATTTTACAATTTTATTATAAATAAAAACTACAAGGATTTGACGGAGCTATCTATAGTGTCTGGGGCAAGGGAAAGAAGAAGAGTTATTAGAGTCGGGTTCCTATTCAATGGAAACAAATATGTTTACAACTATATCATAGAGAGACTGATGTTAATGGGGTTCTATGTGTGTCTTCATTGATCCAAAATAAATTATCAAAGAAAGAAGAGGCAATATAAAGGGTCTTCATTAATATCTTAAAAGTATGGTTTTTTTTTATACTTAATCTGCTAACAAGACTTGGATATCTAACTTCACATTGGTAAAAGACGTTTAAATAATAAATGGTACATATTATTCAAATCTAATTCGACTGTGCAAAAAATCATCATTCATGACGGAAGAGAGAACTTCTGCTACACGGTGATGGACTTTAGTCTAATGAATGCATGGGGTAGCGTACCATAGAATGATGAGTATGATCTTTAAATTCAAGATATTAAACATATTGAAGATATATGACAAGTGTGTAATTTACCTATTCATCACCATTACTTTCATAAACTTATTCACTTACTTGTACACGAAGTTTCACCTAAAACCCTTGATTTTTGCATAGAATGAATATTGTTATGTAGATGTGCATTGATTATAATTTATCACTATTTGAATGTAATAGGTTTGATGAATTCAAATCCAATAAGAAAGGATAAAAAGCCAAGAAAATTGAGTAAGGGAACCGAAGTTGAAAGTGTATTAGAGGCCAAAAATCTCGCCAAATTTCTTAGGCAAGCTACCCTCGATCGAATGATATAATAATAAAGGACAAAAAGTCTACCTTGTAAAATGAGTCCAATTCATTGAATGAATTACATATCCCCTACAAAATGGACGGGGGATTCAAAAGATCAATTATCGAGCAAGTTGTTCTTCACACAAAGAATGAAGATAAATTCAAAACTATAAATAGAGCATTTGATTGTCAAATTGAATCATCTTGGAAATATTTCATATATTTTTGTTTTATTAGTTTAGTCTTACTATGTAAAACTAAATGTAAATACATAGTAGGGTAAACATATATACAAAACCCCAACAAAAGAGATTGCAAAAATAAGAAGGAATATGAATAGGAATCTCCTAGATTGCCAACGTCGATTGATGCAAATTCAACTTCGGATTATCGAAATGCAACCTCCAATATTGTTTTTAAGTTATTCTATACAAAAATGGTTGTGATGGAGTTGAGAGAAAAAATACTCAAAACCATAACCTTATAAATGAAAAAAACTTGAAAATTTAGTGTGTTGGAAAGTGAATTTGCGCTTAGCAGTAGCAGAGCCTGCTAAGCACACTCTGTTGTAATGCGAAAAAATTTAGATTTTATTTTCGACATTACTTGAGAACCGTAACTCCGATTTACGTACGACTAGAAGCGTTAGAAATATTATTCAATGCTCTATATTACAATGACTAAATATCATTGCTTGAATACCTATAAAAATGAGATAAAAATAATCAAACTCAATGATATTTACATAATAATACAATTTACACTAGTACGTAAATTATACACAGTATACATAACACTGAGGATTATTAATGAAAAAAATTAATTAAGCCGATGAGTGATAATTATTTCAGACTCAAAATATTAACAATTTAGAACTCATCAAACTCTCCCCAACTTAGACTTGTTTTTCCCCAGACAAGAATCAAATAACCTAACAAAGCAAATGAAACTGCCTAGAAATCATGTTCAACAAGTTATACAAACAAAAAATAAATGTATGATATACAAATCAAAAGCACACGCAAGGAAATGCTTACCACTAAAATACATCAAAACAAAGAATATGAAGCAAAGTTTAATGCACAAAATACATGTCAAACAACCCAAACTAATACATGTTCAAAAATGAATCACACTTAACGCATAAATCATCAAGGGATGAAAAATAAATATGAGCGACAACTCACACAACAACAACCATGCTAATATCACTTCAAATTATGCATCATCTAAAAAAACTCATGTTTAAAGTATAGAAGCAAAAATCACAAGGGCTTTAAGGGTTGTAATGCGGCTTGGATAACAGACAATTGTTTTTCTAGGTAAATGAAACAAAAACTTTCCTAATCAAATGAGAAATTAAATCTAACTATTTCAGGCATTCGCAAATTCCATTCACTTTCTCTTTGTTAAAATTATTACACCACTCCACACAACTTATTAGCACAACATTATTCTATTTTTTCTTTTTCAAGTTTTTTTCTCACTTATTTCTTTCTTTCTTTTTCAACCTTTCTCTCAACCTCTTGGCATCCAACCTTTCTTCTCCCCAACTTAAATATAACCATAATTGTAATACTAATTCTCCATAACTTTCCAAAGCAAGGGAGAAAAAATTCAACCACAAATCATGGTCATGGTTCAAGAAAAAATTTAGAATCTATACAAAAATGAGCCCAATCCTAACATTGATTCTAACAAAGGCTCAAAGGGGTAAAAAAAATATTCACTCACTCACAAGGTAGATTGACTATTTGGTCAAGTAATTGTACTGAAAACCAATAAAATGTCTTGATCATTTTAGTTCTTCGACAAAAAACAACACAAATACAAGATTAAACTTAATTCAAACGAGTTAAACAAGAATGTTGGTCACTATATGTTGTACCCCAAAATTTTACCTCTCATTTATAAAGATATTTCCTACAAAGATCTTTAATACCTCAAGTTTGCACAAGTATCAGCTAGATCAAATAATTTCCTCAACACTGATGCCTCAAATTAGGGTTTGAGTTTGTACAAAGGCAGTTGGGTTTCTAATGTTTCAAAATGACTTTCATGGATAATTATGGACCCTCGGGATTTATTTTTGTCAAGTTTCAATTCTTGGATCACAATTTTCCAAGAAAGTCATTCAAATTACCAAAAGGGCAAAATGACCAAAATTAGGGTTTTAACTGAAAATGACTGAACTTTGATTTGTGACCTAATACCTGGCTTATTAGTTGGAAGCATGATCTCAAGGATCCGAGCGCGTCATTTTGACCTAATTTCACATTTTAATTCATCTCCTAAGATCAGTGGATTGATAGAATTCGGTCAACTGATGAGAAAAGTCAGTTGTATACTAAAAAGTCAAACTTTAACTTTTTGATCAAAGTTGAATCTCAAAAACAATATTTCATCAAGACATCCAAAATATGAAATTTGATCATCAAAAATCAAGAAAGTCAAAGATCTAACTTTTGCAAAACTTAGAAATTTTTCTAAGTTAAATTCATTACTTCATGACATCTTGTCACTACAATTCAAAATAGTTCAAGATGTTACAAATAGTTCAAGTTATTACAAAGTGGCATTTTTAAAAGTTTACAAATCCTAAACTTTGTATTGTTTGGACTTTTTCTTTTTTTTCTTTAACTCAAAACCTTGCCATAATAGTTTGTCTTTGATACAATTTGCATAAATTGCTCCACAAACCAAACTTGTTTTATGCTGCAAACTATGTTGTCCAAGTTATTATTGAACAAATTATGATATGTTACTTCTATATATTGCCACAACACTCCAAAACCCTGCTTCATTGTTGTCCTACAAAAAACCTTGTGATATGTTGCACCACAAACCTGTCACAAAAACCTGCATATGTTGTCCTATACAGTCCTAAACTGCTCTATGCAGTCTGCTCCAACCTGCATCATAACAACCACAAAATTGCACCAAAATGGAAAAAGAAAATTGTGTGGAAAAAGTATCAAAGCAGTTGGCAAAAACAATTCAAAATAACTTATTTTGTTTCCCTCCTAAACCTCAGTCAAGGATCTACAAAAGGGATTGTTTCATAAGACATAGGGGGATTGTTTCATAAGACATAGGGGAGATTTTCCCTCCCGCTCCCCAAAACATGTAATAGTGTAGGACATTTACTTTTCGCATTTTTATTGCTTTCATAAAATGTTAGTAATTAGGTTGTGTATGGCAAGAGTTAAAATGAACAAGTAGACAACCCAAATTCAAGACTAAATGCATGCAATCAAATACACTATTCACATACATGCACCTCTAGGGTAATCTCAGTTGTTTCCTTAGAAA